TGTTAACCAATGGGTGTGTAGAGCTGTGCGAGTTGTTGTTGTTGTCAGTGTTTTCAAGAATTCGAAACAATTCCTTGACTATTGTCTTGGATGATGTGGGGGGATGGTGTCATTAGAAAAATGACACAATTGTTGAGTTAAACTTAGATCATCGCCCGAATTGACGACGACGACTGCTCAAAGTCGCGTCCAACCAAATGTTTTCACACAACCAACCATCGCCCAGATGATGATGATGATTGTGATGGAAATTGTGTAAATGTGTAATGAATGAATTATTAGTTGTATTCCGGCTGTCCACTCTGAAATTTATGGGTTTCCGGATAACATGTTATTTTCTACTTAAAGAGGAATTTTTATTTTTGAGAAATTTTGTTTGTTCCTTACTTAGTGTTAGTCTGTTTCTTTTACTAGCATAATTTCTAAAAATAACAAAAATGACGCAAATACATATTTAAATTACTATAATTATTTATATCAATTGAGCTCCAAAGCCTTTATTAAAATTGAAAATTTAAAAAGTTTTCTTTTGCCTAATTTTAAGAATTTTTATAGAGCACTATCGCAAACCCCCAAAAACTTTCACTCTCTCATGGCAATGTTATATACATTTATATAAAAACATGGGACTATAAAAATAACGGTTTGTTGTAAATACTGCGAAATCCAATCGCCAACTGTGAAAAAAATCCGTGGAAAAATGTTAAATCATCAAAATACCAAATATCGGGAGGTACCATTTTTTGGGTTATACCTAAATGTTAGCCCAAGGTCCCTTTGGACGAAATCTATTTTATGACATTTAGATGACTGTCTGTCTGAGAGTACGAATGGAAATTCCAGATTTTGCTGTTCCTTTTGAATTCACAATTACCTATGGACGCGGAATTTCGCATGGGGCTAGAGCAGAAGAATACCAGTTTTGATGGTCATCGAATAATATTTAATGGGAGAAATAGACATTAAGCCACGAATGCTTTTAAATTCCATCAAAATCACAAATACGCGAAATGGTAATTTCTGACCATTCAATTGATGCTAATATCCAAAATATCGCCTATGTAGCAATATTTATGCAATCTCTTATATCAAAAAAGTTACAATTCTCACCAATTCAGAATGGCCTTTTGGCAGAACAGAATCGCAATAACAAAATCTAGAATAATAACTTAAAAAGTTGCTAATAAAAATGTGAATAATTTTCTGTAATTTTTGTGACATGTTTTATACCCTCTACCATAGTTTGGAGGGTATATTAAGTTTGTCATTCAGTTTGTAACACTTCGAAATATATTCTTGATCAGCATAAAATTCTATATCGATTTGGTGATGTCTGTCCGTCTGTGGAAATCACTCTAGCTTCTGAACAAAATGAAGTAGGTCGATAAAATTTTACGCAAATGTGTATTATGTCTGTAGGACTTTTGGTATTGAAAATGGGTCATATAGGTCCACGTTTTGGTATAGCCCCCATATAATGGTACCTCCCTATTTTCGGTATTTTGGTGATTTAAGCAACATTATTCACTGGAAATGTTTGAAATTTGGTATTTGAAGTTCGTAATGGATACTACAGCCTATGACAGAAAATTGCCGTGCAGATCCACGTCTTCCTATAGCCCCCATATAATGCTACCCTTCTTATTTTCGGTATTTTGATAATTTTAGCGACATTATTCACGGGAATTGTTTCAAATTTGGTATTTGAAGTTCGCAACGGATACTACAACCTATGACAAAAAATTGTCAGGTCCACGTCGTCATATAGTCAAAATATAACGGTATTTTGATGATTTTATCTAGATTATAAAGCGATTTTATCAAATTTCAATATTGTAATGGTTTATGACAAAAGTTGCATATGCAGGTCCATGTTGTCGTATAGACCCTAATATAACGGTTACATTTGGTATTTTTAAGATTTTAACAGAATTTTAACGGATTTTATTTTATTTATTTTTTTTTTTTTTTGAAAATTGCCAAATTCGGTCCAAATGGTGGAGGGTATTTAAAAATCGGCCCGGCTGAACTTACAGTCTTCATTTTGCAGTCGCCCTACAGTTCTCAACAAAAGACAAATAGGACTGCGCTGAAGCCTAGCATTTTGGATAGTTATCGGATAATATTTAGCTGGTGAAATAGATCACAATTTTGTGTGAAAAAAATCCAAAATAACGGAATCACTAATAAATAAAAAGTGCACTTCGGACCTTTACATTGATGGGAATAGAAACAAATATCAGATATACAGGAGATCATATAGGAACCAAAATTTTCAAATATTGTTTAGAATACCCATTAACACGACATATGGAGTAAATATAGGGCAAGTGCTTCAAAGATTAGCGTGACATCTTGGATTCAGTTGAGAGCCAAAAATTTTACAAGGCTTTGTGAAATTATCTCAAGAATGAAAAAAATGTTCAGTATGAATGGACAAAAAAACATTACGAAATTTCTTATTTTTCCGAAAGAGCAAATTATATATTTGACATAGTAGGATCATCGGCATCGTCAAATACCGATTCTTTATTAGCTATCGTATGTTTATTGGTTCTATATTGACTTTTCGAAATGAGGAGCAGTTAGATTCAACATTTGTTTTTATTATATAGTAGATACGGTGATGTTTCATAGAGGGGAACCTTCAGATCTGCAGAATTTTACCGCAAACTGTGGTGATGTAGGGCAGGGTCTAATGGCCAGTTCGCCCGACTCTAGCCTTTGCTTACTTGTTTTTTATATTAAAAACGTATATTATTAAATGGAATATTCAACTCAATTTATACAGGTATAATACCAATAAAAATCTAAACTTCAGTTTTGACCTAAAATCCTAATGTTCATTTTTTTAAAGTCTTCAATTTTTTTTAATTCATTGATATTTGAAGTGGAGAATAGATAAATTACTAATCATAAGTATTAGATCACATGTATATTTCACCAGCAGTATTTGAATAAAGAATTATATAACTACGCTTTTTATTCCTATACCTAGTAAAATAACTAAAAATAAAATTAGAGGCGTTTTTGGAGAAAACTGTTCCAGACTGAAATTTAATATGTTCTTTAAAACTCATATTAAATAATTTACACCCCCCCACCAGACGTGACAATTTTCATTTCTTTTCATTTTTTTTTTGTCTACAATCAAAAATTGATTTTTCTTTTCGGGCGTAAAAGAAAAAATAACTTTTATTTAATTTAACTTTGACAATGAATTTTTTGTGGGATGGGTGTATTTTAGATAGAATGGAAGGAAGCCTGAACAGCTATGGAGTCAGTGGTCATTTATTCCAAACATACACACACGTACACAAAAAAACCACAATTTGACATTGTCCATCCATCTATACTTAGAATAAAGGACAAGGCCATTGATATTGAATGGGTTTTGTGTAGAGGTTTGAGGAGGGGAATGGGAATTGAGGAAATTAAAAGCACCATGTGAATGTGTGTGTGTGTGCTCTTACACACATGTGGAGAAATGTAACAAAAAAAATATACCACTGGTATAACCATATATTATGGAAAGTGGACTAAATAAATATTTTAATAGAAAAGAAATAAAACAAATTAGTGGAAGAAAAAAAAAACAGGAATTACGAAAAGAATGAAATGAATATTTGAAGGATAAAAAGGAAAATTGAAAATGGGAATAACAAAGGCAGAAAAAAAACGGAAAGTAAAAGGAGCAGGGCGGGGTGTTTGGTGGCAGCAGCACGACTGTGTGCAAAGTAGTTTGCCCAGTTGTGTAACAATAAGAAAATAAAGAGCAAAATGAGGGGAGAGCATCTCATTGAGAGCGAGAGAGAGTCAAATTGCACATTATGCAAAATGAACTCAAACCAACCGGAAACAGGGGTTATTATCTCCTTTTGTACGTAGCCATGGGTGCTAAACAAGGCCAACTAGCTATTGCTGGGCTCTTCCTCAAGCGGCCATCGTTATAATTATGGGTTTGTGTTTTTGTATGGCACAGCTTGCCATCGTCCAATTGGTTGGTGCCACACCACACAGCAGGAGGCGTTAACATATGCTCTCGTTCATTTTTGTGCGGAGAGCAGCATCTAGCAACAACAATGGCAATACACAGTGAAGAGAGTGTGTGTCTGTTTGCTTGCTTGCTTGGTAGGTTCTTGTGTATGGCGCGTGGTTTTTGTTGTTCTTTATGAATGAATGGGGCAAAGAAAAAAAAAACACGAATAGGAGTTGTTGTTGTTGAGGAGTTATTGGGGTGCTTTGTGTTTGAGTTTTGGGTGCGCCTTGTGTTTACTGTTGGTTTGTAGGGGAATTTTTACAGTGAGAGAGAGAGAGAGAGAATTACTCTCCTCGCCATTTGCAAGGGGTTTTTGTTAGTCACCGTAGTGTTGTTGTTTTTGTTAACAACTTCTGAGAGACCATAAATAATACAATAAGAAAATAAAGAAATATAGCTACCAACACAACTACAATCTCACACATTAAGGCAAAAAATTTGATACAAGTTTAACAAGTTTTTATTTTCTTGCCGAAGCAAATTTGGTATTTCAACTCTCCTTTGTACTTTGGTGAGAGATTTTATGGATGGTCGCTAAAGAGGCAATTGTTGCCTTTTGATGTGTGTGTGTAGTATAGCAGCTGCCTGTAATTGTATTGGAAATTATTTTGCATGATTGTAAATATTTGCTTCGTACATTAAAGTTGGTTTGGTGTTGCTGCTGGCTTCTCTTTCAAATGGCTGGAGAGTATCGTGCATGCAGTGGCGACGGGCTGGTTTTTGTTGGGTGCAAAAACAAATTACCAAAAACAACAACCACACCACTACAACACATCTCAATCATATTCAGCTGCTGATTTTACTGCGGCATACGACTACTGCTGTTTTGCTTTGAATGTGTTTTGTTGTTTTTTTTTTCGTTTACTTACCTTCGTCTGCCGTTTAACTAGCGCAGCTATGCCATCGTTTGTGTTGTTGTTGTTGTTTTTGTTGCTGCTGTAGTTGTTTTGTTGTATCGTGTTGAAAGCTTTTTGTTTGCCAACGTCTCATGCGAAACAGTTGCAAGTACAGAAACGATCAGCTACGACGACTTTTGAAATTTGCGCGGATGAATAAAAAAAAGGCAAACACACAAAAACAAAACCACGACGACAATAGACGCCAACAACCCTAGAAATTTTTCCCCCAATAATATCCACAAAAGAACATGGAAATCCCAGAGACTCCACCATCGCCAGTGCTGTTGCTGTAAAAGACACAAAACGTTCACACAACAAACGCATTTTTAAAACGCATCCATCAAATTCTAGCTGCTGCCTTGTTCTTTTGTTGCAAATGGTTACGATGCAGCAGGTGATGACGATCCAATGACGAAGACAACGACGACGATGATGCAACCAACAATGCCAGCGAGTGAATGAAATGAAAGTTGTGGAGAAAAACGAATCATCATCAGTTTTCCAGGCAGCCAGCCAGTCATCAATCCATCCATCCATCTGTCTATTTACTCGTCTCGCAACAACAACAACAGAAAACGTTGCTACCCCCATCCAAAGGAAGGGTTAAAGTGATTTTCATATGGCAAAGCAAAGAATAGTGTTCCGTAAACAATCTCAAAATAAACATCAATATAATTTAACGGTCAAATCTGTGAATGAGAATAAACAAATGCAAAAAATAAATTCAATTGCAAAATTTTAAAAATTTATTGAAGAATAAAAATTAATAAAACTTAATTAGAACGAAAACAAAGAACCAAAAAAAAAAAAAAAAAAAAACAAAAGAATAAATTCGGTAACAAACGAAAAACCGTTGGGCGCCATGCTGAGTTGTACACCAATCGTTCTAGTAGTGAATCATTAGTCTACCTGTCAACACTCACTCCACCCAGGTTTGGAAATGCTTAACAACCATATGACGGATTAAATGAACAGCAGTAGGAAAAAATAAAGAAAATATCTACAAAACAAAACCCACCAACTGATCCTTAGAGCGGGCGGAAATTACAATAAAACTTCTATTGTTCTTAAGAAATAGAAAAAAAAAAAATAAAACGATCGGGACAAAAGGAAAAAATAGTTTGTGTAATACAATTAAAACAATGATAAAAATAAATTAATCGAACAAGAAAAAATAAAAAGATTGCAAAAAAATAATAATTATTATGATATAAAAATATTGAAAAAATTGTTTATAAATTACCTTTGTGAAACTTTTAGATACGCATAACATGAAACAAATCTAAAATTTTTTTTTTGTAATGTTAAACATGACCACAAGTGCTCACAAGTAATATTTAAAAAAACAAGCTATACTGATCCACAAATCCTTTACGAAAATAAATTTCTTGTAAAGTTTTTTAAAAAAGAAGAAGTGAATTAACAAATTGAAATCAAAGTTTTATAAAATTTACACACCTAAAAAGATAGCAACATGCTAACTGATATGACGCCGACGGCCGGCCAATTGTATGGCTCACAAATACCAACCATGGGAATGAATATCACTAATATTGCAACACATTTGCAGAAACCAACAGTTAATCCGGTAAGTTTACAACGAGGGGGAAATATTGTAACATGATTTAATTCAACATAGGAAAAATACTGCAATTTGCGAAAAAAAATCCAGAGTGTCAAAATGGATTTGACCGTCTAGCTTGGAGCCGAACTCATGAATGTGTGGAACCATTTGATTTTAATTTTTTACTAGTTAGAATTGTTGTGTTTTATAGTCAAAATGTGACTCATTTCAAATGTCACAAAAATTAAAAAAAAAAAATTAAATTATTCTAAAATTATTAAGCAAGGAGTTTCTTGTACTCGTAGTCCAAGGGTTTCCATCTTAGAATCCAACCAAAATCCAGCATGTCAAGTTTTTCTGCATACAACAGAGAATATAGAAAAGTGTTCAACTGGATTGCCATTCCATTGCCAATGTATATGTATTTAGACTACTAAAAGTGAACTTGAAGCTTCTCAACGGGAGATGGAATTTTTTCTGCCTTCATAGGATGGAAATCTATAAAATAGATATCGCACATTTTCTCTTAAAAAATAGTTCAGTATCGATTGGAATTTGAATTGCTAAATTCAAAATATTATTCAGACAATTATTTGCAAATAGGGCACAAAAAATAAGTGCAAAATATTCTTGCTTCAAAAAAAAAAAAAACATGTTTCATGTAGGACCAGTTTTTGATATAGACCAGATATAACGGTAGCTTATGATTTTGGAATTTTGATACTTTTTGTCCCAGTTTCCATCAAAATCAAATTTCATTTGATATTTCGGGTAGCTTAACTTCTTGCCAAAAATATTCGATTTAGATTAAATTTATGGTATATCCCCCATGTTACAAATTTATTTGCTGATTTCCAGTATTTCCAATCAAATCAGACGTAATTCGATATTTCGGACTCACATTGGGAATCCAAACAAAACAAAAAATCAATATAGGGTGCAATCAGGTTGACTTAGAATACTTAAGACTTAGATCTCTCCTATATTGAAGCTACATATATACACACAATCATACATTTCTGTGATAATGGTGTCATTATTCAGTGGTATTTCGCCTGTACGTTAGTGAGAATTATTTTATCTTCCAAATAGTGAATACATTTTTGGGGATTTTTGATATTGAAAATAGGCCATGCAAATCCAATTTTGGTATAGCCTTTACAGAGGCACCAACAAAACTCTGGTTTTAAAGATTTTTGCCACATTTATTTTTTTTTTTCAGTTAAATTTGCGAAATCAGTATAAATTGTTATTTTGAAAAAAATTCCAATTTATGATATACGACCCATATCATAGGTACACCCTGACATTTAATTATTATTATTATAATTATTAGTATTTTTTGGTTTGTGGATACCCCGATTCTCCGTATGCTTTCCCTTATAGCGAAAGGCATAAAATATTTTGTTTAAAGGCAGCATTCATTTTACCTTCTTTTAAATTAACATTTTCTTTTAAATTCAGGAGTTATGTCCCCTAGAAACGGATTACAGATATCTTACGTTTTCCGAGTTAAAGTCGCCTTATTTAGATCCTCTTTTCTTTAGAATAATGATTATTTAAAATAACCGACGGAAAAACATATAGTACCATTGTATGAATCCGAGGTGCAATTGAAACAGATGTAGTGTCAAATATAATTTAGAGCAGATTTTTGGCGACACTGCAATTTTAATAAGCGTTGCGTTAAGGGAAGAATAATTTTAATTGGGTCAAAATTATTGTAACACCGCAAAACATTGATTCTAGACCCTCGTTGTGGTCTTTATATCTCGACGACCTGAATCGATTTTAATTGAAGGCAAACTACTGGTCGCAATCATGGCCTGACCCTCTCGAAATTTTGTATGGATTGAGGATAAGGATGAGAATAGGAGACTACAGTTTTTAGAGATGTTCGCAAAATATGTAGGGAATGTAAAGATTGAAAAATGTTTTTTTTCCTGACTTTTAAGTCCCTTTTTACATCGCAATTATAGATTAATCGACGTGAAATTGTAGAAGGGGTTAGAGTTTAGGGTAGGACAGAAGCCTACTTTTGGATGGTCATTTATACTTAGGGGGTAAGATGGACTTTAAACTTTTTGTGAGACATACCAAATTTTAAATAGATCCTATAAAGGACTTAACCATATACTCCTGACATTCGCCGTTTAAAAAAAGAAGTTTCTATTTCTTGCGGCAATTAAAATAAAATTTAAAGGTTTATTCTAGGTATGTCATCTTGCTTATTATACCCTACAACACTATGTGTTGGGGGTATTATAATATTTTTAATATATCTGACGTCAAAATTTATCTCGCTTATTCTTCAAAATTTAATTGGAAATTGAATTGAACATTTGGCTAATTTAAGAGAAAATAGTGAAAATTTCTCCAAATTAACTTGTAACAATACTTTTTACAAAATAATAAAAAAAACAAGCAAGTAAAGGCTGTAGTGGTGCGGGGCCGACCATTTGTTCACTACAATTTCGAGTTTATTGAGATAATATGCTATACAGTCCTGCAAAAAAATGTAACCTTGGTTTTGGATCGGGACATTTGGCCAATTTTTACGCCTCTCTTTCGTGCTGATTGGTATTAAAAATAATTTCACATAAAAACAAGTAAGCGAAGGCTATAGTCGTGCGGGGCCGACCATATGATGCCCTAAAACACTACAACATGTTAGAAGCCCCCTAATATCCAAATCCATTTTGGAAGATTTCGCTTTTAGAATTAGGTCACAAAGGGAATTTTTTTCTGTTTTTGGTTCATTTGGACCCCTAATAGTTTGCGATCACCTTCAAAAGCATGAGGCCCCTCTGTATCTCCAAATTTAGACTCATCTATATGATTTTCTTGTCTACGATATTTGGCTATATTCGTCAAGGAAATCAGCACAAAAAAGCCAGAAGTTCACCTTTTGTGTATTTCGGATATCGCCTGTAAGTAATGTTGGTACTTTTCAGACAAAAATTACTTCATGCGAGATTTCGTGTCCTTTGGTTTCTATTTGTGACCTTTATAACGGCGGCAAAATAGGAACATTTTTAGTTGTAGGTCCATTTCAACCCCTAAATATATTGCAGACATTTTTGAAAACAATAGGCCCAGCCCTTCTAAGCCTAACCCTACCCTTTTCGTGTAGATTGGACGATAATTGCAATCTGTATATAATATCCACAACCTATGTTGTAAAGTGCAAAAATATTACAAAATAAACACTTCAATATTATAAGTCAAATTGAAAAAATCGCATGCGATAAAAAATATGAAAAAAAATGTCACAAAATACTACAAAATCTATATTAACTTCATTATTGGCATCTTTTTATGCGATTTTTTTAGATTTTATACTTTTATGCCAAAAGGGCATTCTAAATTTACAACATTTGTCAAAATCGCCCCTTCCTTTGTATATACACATTGTATATATTTCGCTATATATATCCGATATTTTTACTATCGGCATCTACGTAACGGTCAGAATTGGCCTGTTCGTCTATTTGTGATTTTGCCGCATTAAAAATATTCGCGGTTTTGACTTTTTGACTTTTATTTATCACAAATGATATGGCCAATTTCAACCACTAAATATTACCCGATGACCATCAACATTGGAAGGCTTCTGCCCAGCCCAAAGCTCTAGCCCCATGCTGACTTTCGCTTCAATTGGCCTATAATTGTCACCTGTAGAGCAACTGCAAAATCAGTATATTTTACAGTTTTTGGTCCATTTCCACCCCTAAATATTGTGACCTTAACCCCACCTACATTTTAAATTTCGTGAAGATCGGGCCATAATTGCGACCTGTAGAGTGATTACAAATTAACATGGACAGACGGACGGACGGACATACATAGCTAGATCGACTCAGCTCGGCAAGATAGGAAGATCCATATATACTTTCCTATGTGGAAAATCAATATTTCGAGGTGTTACATAATTTTCGGCCCAATCAAACTTATAATATCCAATTCTAACTATAACGGTACACCGTTATTATTTGATGTTCCCCAAGAATTAGAAAAAATCCCATATCATTCACAAAATGGAATCAAACAATCATAGCTTCGAAATTAAAAAAAAAAATCCAAAACAGCAATAGAACATTGTCGCAATTGCCCTTTTTCGCAGACATAATCGATTCGATGCACCTTATTAAGTAATTCAAGTGGAAATTTCAATGCATAAAATTTTCAACTCAAATCGAGATTTTCCATTGGAAAGAGAAAAAAAGACTTTGTAACGTACTTTTTTTGCAAGCAAACAGGTAATGATCTCATCATGGCATCAAATCTGCTTTACGAGGAGGCATGATGAGGTTAAAAAGGAAAACTTCCACAATTTGTTGTAGCAGTTATAAAACTATTCCTCATCATCAACATCTAGGGATAAATGTTTGTAAAAAAGATCAGTTACGCTTCTTAACGTGCCCTATTCTATCTTTGTTTCCTTGCTTCACACTTAAAAGGATAACATGAGTGGAGAAAGAGTCGTAATAATAAAGTTAGGTGTGAAGTGGTTATGACGTTTGAAACACAAAAAATAGATAAAAGAGACAATAGCCTTAACAAAACCAAAATCTGATATAGTTTTGAGGATATCACTAAGTTGTTGTAGTTGTTTGCTGGGGTAAAGTGAAAATGATGAGTTTTGATGAGAAGATTATTTTCAACTCTAGGTAGGATTGTTGTTGTGATTTTGTAGATATAAGATTTATGTGGATAAGTGTGAGAAAAAATATAATAAGAGGCTTTGCTCGTTCACCATCATCAAGATAAGATCATAGATTTGTGTAATAATGGAAGGAAAAAGAGAACAAAAATGACTTTTTAACTTTCTTTGTCGGTTATTTTTGGGGATTAAAGAAGGATTTAGGATATACGGTTGTTAAAGTGTTACAATTCTGAGGAGATTATTTGAGGTCAGGTGGATATTTTCAGTAAAGGTATATTTAGAGAGTTGTTGGAGTTTTGTAATGTTGTTTTAATGTTTGAATATTGTTAGCCATAAGAAAGTGAATACGTTTATCATG